CGTCGCGCGCGGCCTGCAGTTTGATGAGGTCGTCGATGCGGAGGATCGTGATGGCGGCCTCCGTCGCGAACTTCAACGCCTTGATCTTCGAGACCGAGGGCTCGAGAACGCCGGCCTTGACGTTGTCCCTGACCACGCCCTCCACCAGATCCAGACCGCAGTGCTTCAGATGCTTGTGGTCAGGCTTGTGTTGCGCCGCGTTGTGATAGGCGCGCAGTTTGGCCACCAGATCCGTGGCGTCCTTCGCCGCGTTCACGGCCAGCGTCTTCGGGATGACGAGCAGGGAGTGCGCGAACTCGGCGATGGCCAGCTGTTCCCGCGACGCGATGGTCGTGGCGAACGTCTCCAGATAGACGGACAGCGCGGCCTCGACTGCGCCGCCGCCCGGCACCACGCGCTTGGACTCGAGCACGCGCTTCACGACACACACCGAGTCGTGGAGCGAGCGCTCCATCTCGTCCAGGAAGAACTCGTTGGCGCCGCGCAACACGATGGACGCCGAGTTCCCGTTCTTCGGCCTAAACAGTGTTAGAGTGGTCAGTTAGAGTTAGAGTGGCCGCGAATACTGACCCCTTGATGAGGATGAGCTCGTCGTCGGACACGCGCTCCTGCGCCACCTCCTCGGCCTCGCCCAATAGCGACGCGTCGAACGACTCCTCGCCCTCCATGTTGGCCAACGAGAGCAACAATGTGCCGCCAGTGGCCTTCGCGATGCGCTTCAGGTCGACGCGGCGGCACCTGCGCACTGCCATCACGCGCGCCTCCACGCAGTACTTCTGACACAACTCGTCGACGGCGCCACTGGTCAGGATCACGTTCGCGCCCGCCGCCAGGATCTTCTGCAGCCGTTCCTTCGTGATGTCCTGCTCGCGCTGCCGAATGGCCTCCAGGTTCTCTGGCTTGTCCACCAGCACCTGCACGCCCAGCTTCAACTTCGCCTTCTGCAGCGAGAAGTCCAACAACGCGATCTTCGCGCCCGTCACGCGCTTCGGCATTCCTGCGCACAGAGATGGTTAGTAATTAGCAAACACGTGACACGAACACTGACCTTGAGTGGCGATCATGCAGTTGAGCGCGAATCCGCGCACGAGCTGCGACTCGCGCGTCGACTTCCCGTTGGCCTTCAACACGCGGATGGCCTTGATGGGGTAACAGTGGCCGCCCTTGCCGTCGCTCGTGCGCACGATGTTCACCGCGTCGACCACCATCTGCGCGAAGAAGTCGGCGTCGGATCCGATGAGCTTCGACGCCAGTGACGTCTTGGCGGCGTTGAGCACGCATTCGGCGCCCAACTCGTCGCTGCCGAGCGTCAGGTTCTCGTTGATGTATTTGACGGCCTCTTTGCACGCGAGGCGGTAGCCGGCGATCACGCTCGTGGGGTGGATCTTGTTCTGCACCAATTGGTCCGCGTTGCGCAACAACTCCGCCGCTATCATCACCTGTCGGCCAGAAAGAGAAACACAGCGTTAGTCACGTGATCGCTGAGAGGGGCTCTGATTGGCGC